AGTCTCTGAGTGAAAGTCCAGAGTATGTTTGATCCACTCAGACTGTCAGAAAATAGTTTACTGGGCACAGGGAAACGGAGATCTGTGTGGGTACATGAGACCCTAAAAAAAGAGGGTGGATTACAGGGAGTACCACCAGTTGGTCCAGGAGCTTTGCCTCCATTATGGTCATTTCTAGGCATACTTTAGGATGACCCGGGAGCAGTTTGACAACCTGCTGTCTATCATTGTCTTCCATTGTATATCAACTGTAAACTTGTTGTCATGACCACCACTGAAGGCCCACCTCTCAAATCATCCAATTGAACAATGGGGAAAAAAGCTTAGATGATGCGGCGTACTTTTCCGCTCTTAGTTTAAGTTTTTTCAACTCGAGTTCAGAGCACTCCGGCAAAAACGGCAGGCACTTCGACTGCAGAAACGCGAGGTGCATCACAACACAAAAAATGCAAGCAAAAAGCTTCATTCTCATAAAAAAACAATTATAAAAAGCCACCTCCAGCTGCTAAAACGCTTTCTGTGTGATCGGGGCAAGCATCGGTATTTGAAGAGTTGCTTCAACTACGTATACTCTTTGCTGCTGCTCTGACACGTGGCCTCTCCCCACTTCCTGCTGCCCTCAGCTCTGGCTTGTTGAAGTAAAACTCATCACTCCTGGTGCACCAGCACAGAAAAAGTTGGCACAGACACCACAATTCTGGTATACTGTAAAATACAGAGAGCTTTACCTGGGGGTGATAGGCTTATTCAGCACTGTGTGAACTCATCTGGAAAGGTCTTTGATATAATCAATGTTCATTTATATGTAAAAGTCCTGTACCCCAGCTTTAACTATAAATCCACCAGTCGATAGACAAAAAATAATCTGGAACCATTTTAATTATTAATATACGGTTGAAGTCATTTTTCAAGCAAACTGTCAAACTCTCTGGTTCCTGCTTCTTAAATGTGAGAATTTTCTGTTTCTCCTTAACTTACACAGCAGTAAACTGAATACCTTTGGTTTTTGGAATGTTTTAGGCTGAATGTCATGATACAAGACTAGCTGCATGTGCTTTGAAAGAGTTATTGATTGCTTTAATCATTCCTGCTGTCCTACTGGCTGTGTGGCTATACTTTTGATGCCCAACTGCACTGTAAGAAATGGAAGACAAAAATCTACAGTCTTTCTTCTGTCATGCAAAACGCCACTGTGAATTTAGACATTTTCTAAAGTTACAGACATTTTAGTGCAAAGTCCCCACCTTGTGTTTCCACCAACAGCGTTTCCTTGCTGATCTATGGTGGAAGGATATGCCTGGCAGTTGAATGCAAGAAAACACTGGCAATTATCGGACACATGATTTCCTGTATGTAGAGATACCTACACAACTTTGCTGACTGCTGAGTACCAGCTTCAACAAAATTTCTGATTGCAATTTTGCATAGGATAAGGACCTAATACAGCAGAGACCCTCTTCAAAATTATCGCTTTCAAAAGCAGAATGGAAAGGAATCAATTAATCTTTTGAATGAACATACGGCATGTGAGTCTTGTATCAAAATATACTTGAGGTCAATTTTCCTTAAAGGTTCCCTGTGGAGTATTAAAACCTGCGCAGCTGTTTTTTATGAGTGGGTCCTTGCTTTGTTTATCTCATGCACATACATGAGGATGCTCATGCATGAGGGTGCTCATGCATGCACACAGATGACGCAATGCACGGTCCTATCGCTGGTTTCATTCCATTCCACAGATTAACAGTTTGTAGTAACACGCAAAGATATGTAGCAATGTGCCAGCAAAGGTAAAGAAAAAGAAATCAACTGGCAAGTAAACATGAATGTAAACAATAGTGGATTTTCAGGGACAGCTCAGATCCTTTGAAGTGTGGATGTAGGCTATGAGGTACTTACCCATAGTCGGTGTATTACATACTGTAGATGTTGGTCAGCAGGCTTCCAGTTTGAAGATGAAGACAGGGGTATCGCCAAATAAGCTAAGCAATGTACTGCTGTGGAGGTGGGGCAGCAGCAAAATGTATTTTAGCCACCTAAAATATATCCACTGTTTTTTCTTACTGTCAGACAGCGATTTCCAACAGCGAACCAAAGCTGTTACATTGTTCTCTTCAAAACCAGACTACATTGAAAAAACAGTAATTTTAGCTCACTGAACACAGGAGCTGCTGGTCTACTGCTGCTTCCATCAGTTAGTTAGTTTGTGTTATTGTGTAACTTTGGCGTTTGAAAGGGTTAGTTCAGATTCACCAAAGTCACACAATAACACAATCAGACTAACCGATCAAGGCAGCAGTAGACCAGAAATTACGGCTTTTGTCAATGGAGTTTGGTGGTTTTGAGGGGGGTTGCAGAGGTGGGTTTTGAGACGGGATTTGAAGGATGTTATGCTGTTGGACTGTCCAATGTGTGGATGTAGGGATTTCCGGAGCCTGGGGGCAGTGCAGCTGAAAGCCCTGGCACCCATCATGCTGAGATGTGAGATGTGAATGGTTAAGAGACCAGCAGAGGAAGAGTGGAGGGAGCAGGAGGGGGTGTACTCCTGGAGGAGGTCAGAGAGATAGGTGGGGGCTAGGTTGTGGAGGGCTCTGTAATCAATCTGGTACTGAACAGGGAGCCAGTATAGTTGGATGAGAATGGGGGTGATGTGGTGAGATGATCTGGTGCGGGTGATGATCTGGGCAGCAGAGTCTGTTAATGAGTTTTGGTGGGAGGCCGGAGAGTACTGCATGTGTGGAACAATACCTCACTGCTGGACTGGGACGGTGATGGGTGGAGTCTGGAAATGTTGCTGAGTGGAAGTTCGCCAGAAACTGTTTTGTTGCTGACCCCTCCGCAGCGGTACATCGGTCAGCTTCCGTGGCTGTGCCCCTGTCTGCTTCTCCAAATGGTGGGAGATTGGGTACAGTACAGTAATACACTATCTCTGGATAAGTACCTCATAGAACCAGAGATAGTGTATTACTGTACTGTACAGTACAGTACAGTAATACACTATCTCCGGATAAGTACCTCATAGAACCAGAGATAGTGTATTACTGTACTGTACTGTACAGTAATACACTATCTCTGGATAAGTACCTCATAGAACCAGACTTCGAAAGACCCCAACTGTCCCTTTAAAATACATTAAAAATCAAACTACAAATATTTAATGAGGAAGAAAAAGCACTCCACATGTTTGATAGACCTCAGTGATTTTTAGTGATTCACACTTAATGTGAACACAACTTTTGTTTGTTTACTATAAAACTGCACAGGGCACCATTAGTCAAGGAGAACTTCAGTATAAAGACAAGGTGTCCACATACTTTTGGCAATGTAGTTTATAATAATGATATTAATAACAATGATTTTGTATTGTGGACGATGTTATTTTGTGACAAAGTACCACCACAGTGTGTCTCATGGGCTACAGGATGTGCTATAAACACCAGGCTTTACTGCAGCATTACACTCAGTTTAAAACCGAGCAGACACCTAGCAGGAGGCATTCAATTCTAATAGAGGGAGGTCTGTGTCCTCTAGCACTTTGAGCTCCTTTAATCTCTTATTCATGTATTCAAGGTGAGAGGAGAGAGGAGCGGCTACAAGTGAGAGCCGAATGGGTCACAGAACAGAGATGAAGAGGGGGGAGAAAGCTCTGGTTGAAAGACGGGAGAGGAGAGAAGAAAAAACGAGATGGGAGGGGAAAAGCCCCGACATCCCTCTCATCCCTCCATGAACCTATCAGTGGATCCTGCGGAGGAGAAGAAAGGCTCTGGTCCTGGAGCTCCACACAGACCAGGATCAAAGGGAATCCCCATCTGATCCAAATGTCGTTTGAATGTTTTATGGTAGCCAAGACATTGAGGTGAGGCGCGGATAAGATATGGCTCAAGAGAGCTCTGATCAGAGGTGGCCTGTCATTTTCAGACGAGAACGTTACACTGAGGAGCTTCGTTCTTTTTTTCCTGAGTGCATGAATTGTATACATATATAATTCAAAATACTGAGCAAATATATATCTTAGTGTGGAAAGATTGGATTTTCAAAGTCCCTTTCCCTTTACATTATGTCTTGATATTGTCAGTCAGTGAATTCATTAGCAGCTGGTGAGGCTGCAGCAGCTCTACACATTTACACAGTAAAGACTCCAGCAAATACAAGACTGTTGAATAATGGAGCTGAGATATGATGCATACAGCATACGCCCCCGTACACATATTTGAACAGACACATATCCAGTGTAACTGACAAACCAAACTGCATGGGGGCTAATTAATTTGTGTCACTGAAAGGTTAAGTGTAATGTATCACTCACATCTTTTTTTAATTTTATCAACCATAACCGTCATTTTCATATGCTCACGCCTACATCCTTGCAAAGCGCAGTGTGTGGATAAACCCATATGCAGCGATGGAGATACATTCAATCATACGTGAATGTTGCTAATGCACGGAAACCTCTCCGCAAACCTACACGGATTATACAGCGACAAAGCCCTTCAAGGGTGCAGGGAAGCTATTGTGCTCAAAGCCTTGTTTCCTCGGAGGAGAGTGCACAGGACGAGGGTATTTACAGTTTATTATGCAGATGCCATCGCTAAGCACTCTCATGTAATGCAAATGCACACACACATGCGTGCTCGCAAACCCATTTAGAATTTAGCATGTTGTGCTGTCTTGGAGCTTTCATTTCATTTGTGCGTAATACTGCACATCAAAGGGATTTCTGAAGCACCAACATTGTGAATACATCAACAAGCAAGTAACTGAGTGCAAAGAAATATATAAATAATGCACACCTGAAAGAAAGGAAGATATCACTGTACATATGGACGTATGAGAGCCTTTGAAGTCAAGTTTGGGGACACATTTCATATCTCTTACCAAGCTTTAGTGGGTCAGGAAGACAAAAAAAAACACTGGGTCATGAGTGAGCTGCAGCCTGTAATGGGTTAACTTCCTCTCCAGTTAGATGAGGAAATGGGAGGGCACTGTGATGTCACTGCTGAAAGAGAAACTAAAAGGAGCAAGAGACGCATGCTTTTACTCCCGTTACAGATCTGAAAGAGTTAGAAAAACCTGCACACACCAGGTAAAGTTGTCATTTCTCATGATTGCAGTTTCTATTGTTAACTAGTTTATTTCAGTGATATAAAAAGCAGACAGCAGTAACTTAAATGCTTTAATTCTGTCATTATTTCACATGATATTTTCCAGACATGGCTGCTGCTGCTGCTTGTAGTCTAATGGCTGAGGAGAATTTTCTGTGTTCCATCTGTCTGGATGTGTTCAATAAACCGGCTTCAATTCCCTGTGGGCACAACTTCTGTCTGGACTGCATCACAGAACACTGGGGCAATAACGCCACTGTATTTCGGTGTCCAATATGTAACGAGAATTTCCTCAGTAGGCCTATGCTTCGGGTTAACACTTTCATTGCTGAGATTGCTGCAAAGTTCAAGGCAGCTGTTCAAGACAAATCTTGCGGTACCCCCGAGGAAGAAGGAAATGGAGAGGTGCTCTGTGACATGTGCACAGGGGCCAAACTCCCAGCCGTCAAGTCCTGCTTAGTGTGTTTCTCCTCTTATTGTGATGCACACCTGGAGCGTCATCGGAGAATTCCAGCCATGACGAAACACAAGCTCATCCACCCGGCTGACAACCTGGAGAGCAGGATGTGCGAGAAGCATCACGAGTCTTTTGAGTCATTTTGCAGGGTGGATCAAATGCTTCTATGCGAGTCCTGTGAAAGACGTGAACATAAAAGCCATAAAACGGTGAGTTTGGATGAGGAGGCTCAATTGAGGAAGACCCAGCTGGGAATGGAGAAGAAACGCACAGATGAGATGATCCAGGTGCGTCAGCAGAAAATTCATGACATTCAACTCTCAGTGGAGGCCAGCAGAAAGAATGCAGCAACGGTGCAGTTGTACAACGCGCATGTGATGACTGCTGTGGTGGACTACATCAGGAGAAGCCAAGCTGAGCTCACAGAGGTGATTGAGATGAAGCAAAAAAAAATTGAGAGAGACACAAAAGGCTTTGTTGAAGAACTGGAGGGAGAAATTGTGCAAATAAAACAGAAAAGAGCGCAGCTTAATCAGGTGTCACTCAGCAACGATGCCTTCACGTTCCTCGAGAGTTTCCTGGCTCTGACAATCACTCCGCCCCAGGTTAAGGACTGGTCTAATGTGACCTTTAACAGTGACGAGTTCACTGTGCAGGAAGCTTTGGCCACATTGGAGACAACAGTGCGGAAAGAAATAAGGTCGCTGTGTGATCCTGACTTGAAAGAAATGCAGCAACATGCAGTGGATGTGACTCTGGATCCTGACACAGCAAACCCTCAGCTCAGTGTTTCTCCGGATGGGAAACAAGTCACGCACGAGGACAGGAAGAGGAATCCCCCAAACACGCCTGAGAGGTTTGAAAATGTCCTTAACGTCCTCGCGAAGGAGGGTTTCTCCTGTGGAAAGTTCTACTATGAGGTCCAGGTTAAAGACAAAACAAGCTGGGATTTGGGAGTCGCAAACCAGTCCATCAACAGAAAGGGCGATATAAGACTGAGCCCCAAGAATGGATACTGGACTATTTGGCTGAGAAAAGGAAATGAGCTTACAGCCAATGCCGGCCCTGCCATTAACCTCTATGTGCGGGAGATGCCTCAAAAGATCGGGGTGTTTGTTGATTATGAGGCAGGTCAAGTGTCCTTCTATGACGTGGACACCAGGGCTTGCATCTTCTCCTTCACTGGATGCACCTTCACCGAGAAGGTCTTTCCGTTCTTCAGCCCCTGTGCCAACGACGGCGGCAAAAATTCAGCCCCCTTGATCGTCACTCCTGTCAAACACAACAGCTGAGTTCCTGTTTTGTTTTTCTGTGTCTCTCAAAGAAAAGGAGACAGGGCGAGGGCGAGGGACTTGGAGAGAGATCACAATGGTGGAGCACTGAAAGGTGTTTATCTGTGAAACTCCAGCGTGTCATTCTGTTACTCCCATCCATCAGTGTCAGCGCCGTGTGTCACTCTGTGTCGCCTGTCACACAGACGGCTGTAGATCTCCAACTGAATCCACGTACAGCCATCAGGACATTCACCACACACACACTCACACACACATGCACAGAGTGACACAGTCATACATCTCCCTGGGTTACAAAAAGAAATCTTTATGACTTGGCCATTAATTTTGATACTCCAAAGCTGCTCCTGCCTGCCAACATACCAAAGATGGGTGACATTTACAAATATTTTATTGCACTTGTTTAGCGCTGCTTGGAGTGCCACACATAAAGACTGTTTACTTATGATATGATGAATGGTACCTTTAACTGGTTGAATTATCATTGTGTTTAAAAAAAATAGACCTTTATGGGATACAGACAGCATATCCCAAGGTGACCCCCACTACAACACCAGCAATGGAAAATAAATCAGCACTTTCTCTTTCCTATTAAAACCATTCAGAAAATATTAAAAGAAATCAAGGACTCCTATTAATCCGTTCTTTTAATGTGGCTCTAGATGACAATTACTTTTCTGCGCCAATTAATGTTATTGAGTTAAATGTGTAGTTATTGAATGGATCCGTCACAACACTGGAGCCTGACTGGTACATAATGCCATGTCCTCTAATTAAAATCAGCCAGACCTGCTTTCCAAGTTCAAATGCAGCAAATCAGTGTGATTATGAGAGCTTTAACCAACTGTTTATTGAGCAAAGCCAGTTAAAGTCTGTTTGTTTGTCAGTGGGTAGCATTTAATTCTGTTTCTGTTTTTAGAGTTGTGTGTATGAGAACGACAGCACCAGTTGTGTCAGCAAGTGCCTCCGCAGTGCCAAAGCAATTTAACTATGATTGTTCATACACCTTAAAGAGTAACTAAAACTCAGGTTTTGGTTCAGTTTTGGTTGAAATGCCTCTACCCTGGAAATTGTATAAATGTCTCTAAACCGTGGGGGCTAAGACACAACCAGTCACAACTTCCTGCAGTGAGCGCAGCTACACTGAGAATATGTTTCACACAATTTAAGATGTTTATTTTATTTTCCAAATGTAATAGGATAGTTTAGGGAGTTGTTCGGTTTGTAATGTGTACCGAACCAAAGCCTCGTACCCAATGGTTCAATACAAATGTGTGTATTGTTACACCCTTGTATTGTTACCCTTATACATTGGTTTTCAGCTGAAAAAGTGATTTGGGGGTTAAGTTACTCTTTAATCATGTGTTTATTACTATAACCAAGACAACTAAGGTCTCCTAACCAAGCTTTGCCAAGTTATTTTGGGCCTAAACCTTACTAAACCTTAATTTAACACTGATCTGTAATAGTTTCAGAGTCACTTGTGTGTGTATGATTTGTCGTATGTGTGAAGTCACCACGGTTTTGATTTTCACAGACGAATTACGATGTCCCGATAGAGGACACAATGTCATTTTATGTGCAAGTCTTGTTTTTCTGTTTTGTTTTGCTTTTATTTTTGTCATGATGCTAGTCTCTTGAGCATGTGTCTCTTAAATGAGGTTGTTATAATCTCATCTACACATAAAGTAGCTGAAGAGCTTTCGGGGGCAGATTAGAGGCGGTCAGATTGGCCCGCTGAATGTTGCACTATTAGGATGCCAGAGCTGAGAGACCCCACACTGGGAAAATGAGTGTGTGGAGTTCTTGGATAAAAACCTGGTATTGCATCTCAATAATGTCTAAAAACAACAAACACCAGTTTCCCTTCAATGATTGTGCATTTAGTAATAAGTAAGGGAGGTAAATAACAATGTCAAATCAAAGCGGACCATGTAATCTGGTTGGGGGTTCACAAAAAATAGAGTTTAAGGTTGTTGACGTCATGTAAGGAAAACGGCCAAAAGTAGGGGTTCCATCTCCGCACTAACGTTTTGCTGCTGTTCTCTTTCATATATCAATGGGAGTTCTATATATTTGACTTTTGGACTGTTGGTTGAACAAGTGATTTGTGAAGATGTCACTTTGATTGTCTGGTCTTTTGAATACGTACAAATCATTCACCACATTATTTGATTTGAAAATGCAGCCCTGGTCTGTATCCTGTATGGTAACTGTGTTGGATTTACTTGAAAATATCTGGTGTTTACTATGTGATTTTTGACTGAAATGCAGTGACAGTAAAAATAATAAAGCTTATTTAGGAAGTGACAAACAGTAATCTCCTTGATTTATTCATCTGGACCGCACACTTGATAAACATCCACAACAATCTAACAAATCCTGCCAATAGAAAAAGACACTGAACGCTGAATTACTTCAATATGCAATTAAAGTGCATCTGTCACTTTGAGGAACATAAACACAAATTACAGACTCTCTTGACAGCCTGAGATTCCCATAACATACACTTAGCAATTTTGTAGCCACCACTCACAAAATAGTCCATTATGTTTCCTCCCCAGCGTGGTTTGAAAAATAATGTTAATTCTGCCTTTTCACAAACAGGGGAATGAGCTTTTAATGATTTGAAGCTTATAAGTGCAAAACATATCTCAGGTAAAAACAGGCTATCTGCAGAATGGGAATAGAATATGGCGGGTGTTTATGAATAGACGGTTTGTGTTTACGTCATGTACGGCAGCTTTGTGTTGCTGTTAATGGTCAGTGATGGAAAAGTTGTTTTGACCTTTTACTTTATTAAAAGTAGAAATACTACCATGTGAAAATGTAAAAAAAAAGAGCATCCACAATTTACAGAAGTATATTTACAGTACTAAACGAACTCTGGCAGAAATGGATCATCTCAGAGTATAAAGTACAGTGTAGTTGATAGTAATTTCATCTCCACCAGCTACACCCTAAAAAGGCTGTTCACACAATAATCCATCTGTAGGGGTCCTACACTGTTTCCATTTCAAATTTCCAAACTTTTCCAGACTCAAATTTTCAGACTTGTCAGTATATTTTTTTTGACCATATTTGATATCTGATTACAAATAGCCAGGCTCGGAAAACTTGCATTTACCCACTGTGGCGGCTCAGTCCCCACTTCTACGCAGAAACGTTCCACTGTCAAATATCTCAAACCGACAACAAACTGATGCTACCTGTACTCATATTATTTTACATAATCATATATTGCATAAATAGTATACTATTATTGTTGTTCTCTCCATATTTTTTAGTCTGTTTTATAAATGATAACCAAAAAATCAATTTAAAAAAGTTAATTTAACTTTCACAGCATCTGCACAGCCTTGTCTATTCACTGTGTCCATGGAAACAATGATGAACGCAGCCATAAAGGTTTCTTAATCTAGAGAAATTAGTCAGTACTTTTCTAATAACTACATCACCGCATAACTTAAGCCTACAAATGTTCAGTAGGAGTTTGCGTCTAGTCCATAAACTGGATAAATAATCAATGTGGCTACCGTGATATCACCCATTGGTTTGTGTACTCCCGTTTTGGACCCTTGAGTTTGCCATATTGGCCATTACCATCTTGGTTTTTGGAGCCAGAAGTGACAGTATTTGGGCGAGAGGCTGGCGCTGTAGAGGAGTGAGGGGTGGATCTGACTGAGAAGCCAAGGACACTATCGGCAGACAGCCTGACACTCAAAGTGGCTCGCCCTTAGTGATGCATCACTTCCGTGTTAGCTCCATTTTTCAGGCTCAGAGGATGCTGCTTGGTTCAGTCACACACCATACTTCTTGCCTTATATTCAACAACATCAAGCTTATCTGTTACACAGTCTCACACAGTGGTAAACATTTTAGCTGTGCTGGCTGTTCCAAATGCTACAGTATGAAAAATAGGCTGCTTGTATGATCAATTTATTTTTTAGAAAAGTAGGGGTAATAGTCTGGAGACACAAATACTATTTCATATTTACTTTTTTCATATTTAACCAGACCTGGAAGCTATTAAAATCAAATGCTAAACTTTTCCATATTTCATAGGAACACTGTGGTGGTGTGGTGTTAAAGTATCAAGTAGCATTAGATTGAAAAACTCAAGTATAAGTACCATAAAACTGGACAATTGTAACTGCAACACTTCTTGAGTAAATACTTACAGGAGTTAACTTTCACCACTAATAAATCAGTCAGACCAGAAGTTGTTCTTCCAGCAATAATCCATGTTTACTTTACCTTAATATTGTTGACCAGTGACCAAGCAGCTATAAAGACACCTACCTTTATTTACAGTTCACTCAGCCTTCCTCAAAATCGTTATTATGGTGGCTCTTAGAAAGGCTAATGCTAGAAACACACTTTTTTTTTTAACATTTTTTCTTCTTTAGAACACATGTCTGAAAGTATAATTTTGCTGCTTAATCATCCCAGGCTGAATTATCTGCAGTAACAGCCTCAGTTGTGGTTTCAACATAGTAGCTCTACTGTATTTCAAATGTGCTCCAGTCGAACACTGTCATAGAAACAGGCTCATTATAAAAGAGGCTTCTCAACAAAGACAGCAGTCTGAGGCTTCTGTCAAGCAAGAGTTTCAAATTAAAAGCACAATCCTGGAGAGTGCACTGTATTGCTTCTGGTGCAATAAGACAGGTGTTGATTTGCGAAGCTAACCAAGAGCACATCGCATGTAACTGCTATTGATCCAGTCAATGGGTGAACTCATGCTCCTCCAACACACCAGCAGCTGTGTAACCGCTCACTTTCTTTTGTTAAATCACAACAGAACTGCAAAGAGAAGACCATCGTGGACTGCTGTGAAATGCTGATACCAATGAAAAAATGGATAATTCAAGCAGTTTGTACAGGGACCCTGAGGCAGTCTTTGTTATGCACTGTGAAAAGAGGGAAAAGTGCAAGAGTGAATAATGGAAAGTGTTGTATCTAACTTCTCTATAGATGAACCATCTATGGAATTTGAGACTGAAAAGATGATAATGTGTTACACTACCTTCATTACACATTTGAAAAATATTTTCTTACTCAGTACTATAAATTTAATAACAATTGGTGTTACATGGTTGGGATATCAACCTACTGACCCTTCCTAAGTCCTGCACCTTTTCGCTCTGTACTCCAATAAGAGTTGCACAAGGTTGGAACAGAGCAGGACTTTGGTCAACTGTCCCTTTTCCAGTTAAACATAGATATGCTATGTGCCAAGCTTGTCTGTGTTGTAAAAGAAAACCAAAATTTGAAGATGGTTAAAAGATGTGGCCGGGTACTGTCACAAACTTTCTGTACACATTATATTGTATATAGTCACAAGTTAGCTAGTGTTAGCAAAATGCTAGCAAACTAGGTAGCTAACAGATAGCTGCATCAAGAGAAGTTCGCCTGAAGCGAGATCACCAAAGTCAGCCAGGTTTGCTTCCTCCTTAGTTCTGTGATAACGTTATCTGGAGAAGGACAGATAGGTTGCTGTTATATTTTTGACATGACATGACTTATTATGAGCCAGATCCAGGCTAACGTTTCTCTGTTTATATTACCTCTATAAGGCTGCATAAAAAGGGACCAACGTTAGGTCAGCACCATGGTCTGGAGTCAGTATAAATACAAACTACTTTCATGATCTGAGCAATGTTGACTGAGAGTCTTATCATCCTCGGTCGGTCGGAAGATTCAATATGTGTCTTTTTACCTTGTTCATAACATCCTTCCATCACATAGTCCTTGGGTTTGCCTCTTGAAGCTATACTGCCTGATGCCAAGAAACTACCTGATAACAGCAGCTTTCTTTTTGTCAAGCTTGTCCAACTTGGGAACTAAGGAGGGTGGGACTCGTGATCTCATTACGGTGGTCTTTACAACAGTCTGTTAATCACCACCAATAGGTTTGATTTTTTCAGCCTTAAAATTAATCCCTTACATATGCAGACAGGTTAACTCAATAATAATAACTCAATAATAGCTGGCTCTATGAATATCAGTGACAGTTGATCAATCCACCACTTGGTCAAAACTAAAACACTGAAACAACTTTCAGATGGACTGTCATGAAGTTTGGTGCAGATATCTTTGGTTCCCAGAGGGTATATCATGGTGACTTTGGTGATCATCTGACCTTTTATCTTGTGTGACCACGAGGTTAACATTTGGGCTTTTGAGTTCGATGTCTTTACAGCTATCGACTGGAAAGGGCATAAAATTGGAGACAGACATTAATGGTCCCCTCAGAAGTTTCCATTTGTCCTGGTTTATGACGAAATACCTACAAAACTAATGACAATATGCTTTGTTGTTGGTGCTAATTAGCAAACATTGGTGCTAAAATGATAAGAAATATGGTGATCATGGTAGAAACAATACCTGCAAAACAGCATTTATATCAAATGACAACTTAACACCCAGTGGTGTGGAGGAGCGGAGAATTCTGGAACATCTCAGGATGGAGAATATGGATAAACTGCAGAGCTGTATTATTTTTCAACAGGATGTTTGTTTTTTGTCAATGTGTTAGATCATAAATACAGTCTCTGAGTACACCGGTCTGGGTAATTACACCGCCTTAATGAATAACAGTATGAGAAAAATACAAGAATATCATGTGGTGTGTGTGTGTGTGTGTGTGTGTGTGTTTCGACAGGACCACATGCCTTTGTCCTTCACTATGTGTATCTAATGAAGTGCCAAATGTAACGAGATAAATCTATCCATTAGAGTCCCTTAACGAGACTAAATCCACATGGCTGCTAATGAGTCGGTGCTCCATCAGTCGTCCTCAGGGGGCTAGAGGACCTGACTGAAGCTGGAGACGACCCGGAGCCAGACAGAATCACACCCTCTAAGCCAGTAAATCCACGGCTCCAGCTGTTGCAGACCTCCATCATTTAGCTGCCAGTCCTTCAGGGAGTGACTTCAAGTTAGCGAGCAGCTACAACAGATAGAGAGTGGACTCATAGCCGGCGCAGGGAAACACTAATCATCTGTAATCATTGATCTGCCATGACTGGGCCATAGTCATTAGCCTGATGCAACATTGCTCTATAGAATTTACTTGTTACTGGGCTATCATTAGCTTTAAACACATGTTTTCTACACAGGCACTACATGCTGTGCAACAGCATGTGGTCATGGTAACAGTTCAGGTCTGAAATACTCGAGAAAATGAAGTTATTCAAATAATAAAAATCCTTAATTTAAATTCTTTGCTTCAGAGCCTTATTTCACTCATGGAAGTATTATATAGCAAACAAGGCCATGTACATTCATCACTGTCACACTAAGACCTGATGCTGT